TATAAAGCATGTAAAAAATATTTACATAATTTAAGAATCCTAATTATAAGAATCATCATTACTGATAATAATTTAACATGAAATCAGCATATTATAACGATTTCTGAAGGATCATGTGACACAAGTACTAACGTAATGATGCTCAAATTTCAGCAGATGAATAAATTACATTTTAATGTAATGTAATAAATGACATTCATTCAAAATAATTATTCTGTTATATTATTTCACAAGTTTACAGTTACTATATTTTTTTATTCAATAAATGTAGCTTTGGTGAGCAGAATTGGATTTTTTCAAAAACATAAAAAAAAAATCTGATTTGTCCCAAACCTTTGAATGATACAGACTGTTTTTTTAAAGTCACATTTACTAGTGTGACAAAAGTATGTATGTGTGATTTGTGATCTGTCATAAATACAAAAATATATACAAAAACTCTTTTGTACAGAAGCACCACAAACTAAAGACTGATTTCTCTGTAATAATAAAAAAACTGTCATTGACAATCATGGTCTAATTTACTGCATATTTGGAAGTTTGGTTGATTGTCGAGTTCAATCATTTTGGAATTAGAAATATTATTTGATCAATGCAAGACAAATTTTGATTGCTTTTTCTTTTTCTTTGCTTGAATGTTATACCTTACTGTCGAATTCTGCTTCAGAGATAAAATGTACATAATTTAAACAATGTGCTATAGATGTGCTAAATTTAAATATGAGAAATAAAACAACTAAATTGCAATGTTTTTCTGCAAATGTATTTGCATTTTACATATAGGCTACTAAATTGAGTAGGAAGTAACAATTGCATGTATTGTTTAAGCAATAATGTAAGTTGCGTTATGATTGCATCATCCATAACTACATCCAGAAATAGCATGATGCAATTTATATCATTATGCTCTCATTTATTATAACTTATTTATTCTTTTTTTATTCCTATTCAATCTTTCATTGCCAAGGTAAGACTCCTTACAAAAAATAACTAGTTTTACTATAAAATAAAAATGTACATAGTTAAACCATGGTAATCACAAATAACCCATGGTTTTGCAAGACAATGGTTTAACATATTTGCAGTGGTGGAAAGAGTACTGAAAATTATATTCAAGTAAAAGTAAGTTTCATTACTTGCCCAAAAATGTAGTGCAAGTAGAATAAAAATATCTGTTGTAAATATGACTCATGAGTAAAAATAGGCCTTTGTAACATTTGTAACATGTAACATTTTGTAGTACATTCAGTAATTAAGGCTATTTGGCGATTTTATGTCATCATACAGTAGGCATCCTTCTCATCAGTGACATGCGGTCTAACCAGACTAAAATCTCCTGGTTGATTGCATTTAAAGATTTTGGATATCTTTGATACATGTCTTGAAATTTTTCATTACGATGCAAAATTATTTGATTGGACTGGAATAGCAGGACTGATTTTTCCACTTTTAGCCAATCCCCATAGACAAGAAAAAACTAAGTAGTGACTGCAGGATGAAGGAAAATAGAGTACCGATACAGCACTAAAAATGCTCTTAAGGGAAAGTAAAAGTGCACATTTTAAAACTACTAAACTAGTAAATTACAATTCCTAAGAAAAACTAAAAACCTAAAGTTTTTAAAGAAAAAGTAATCTTCAGATCTTTAGACAGTATAAAATCTTAAAAGAGTTCAGATCTTTAGACAGTATAAAATCTTTAGACAGTATAAAATCACATCTAATCAAGAAGTCAATGCCACCTACTGTGCAAAATACTGCAGAAGAACCTGTAAACCACATACTGTTTGTATTACACAGAAGTTATCTTAGCCATTGAATTTTCTTCTTCATTCTTCTTCTTCTTGTGGGGTTAATGGCGGTTGGCAGACCAACTTACATGGTGCATTCCCGCCACCTACTGTATAGGAGTGTGGAGCACATCATGTAGAAAAGGAATGAAATCAAAAGATTTTTTTTTACCTACATCACACGACGTCACACGGGTTCAACCGTGCATACCGGTTGCAAAAAAAAAGACCAGTTGCAATAGCAAACATGCTGTGTTGTGTGGTAGGATGCCAAAATCGAAAGTCCAAAAATAGACAACTTAAATTTTACCGTACACCACACAGCTTTTGATGCCAACCGCAGACATCTTTGGCTAACAGGGAGTTAAATGAGGACTTAATTAAAAATGGTCGACTCTGCAGCTCTCATTTTATCAGGTAAGTTCCCGCTATGCTGAATCATACACTTTACTCATTTTTGATTGCAGTACTGATTTCAGCAAAAACAGGTAAACATGGTGATCATGGAACATTATTTATTTCATTGTTGGCATCCAAAGACTTGTAGGCCTTTAACTTCTCTCCTGTAAAATCACTTGGAGTTTCAGTGAGAAAGTTGTATGTTTTGGGCTGGATGCTTGGCCATTTCATCTCATCCAATATCCATTGAGAAGGTGCTATCGCAAATGGACCTGTCAGACAAACGCCACTCACTTTAATGATAATTTTACTAGGTGACAAGCTGTTATAATATTTAATAAAAAATTTAAATTATATATATATATATATATATATATATATATATATATATATATATATATATATATATATATATATATATATATATATATAATATGTAATCAATAAAACTTATCTCTAATACAACAACAAACTCTGTACCGCATCGAATGTCATTCCCTCGCGCTTCCGTTTTTTTCTGCAACCTCGATGCATGCGCATCCTGAATGTTTACAAACCAATAATTCGCCTTTATGATAAGAATGGAGGGAATGAGATTACCAGGGGGAAGAGAGAACAGGGAAAAATAAATGAGTTAAAATAAAATAAAAAGGGAAATTTGATAGAGGGAATAATTTTTTTTTAGAAATTAATACCTGAATAAATGTACAATTCTTTAATTTTACTAAACCATTCTTAAATTATATTTATCAATTTTGTTTTTAAGTAATTAATTAATTGCTGTATTATTTTAATTTGATTTTAACCATTTCCTAACAAGGTCTAAAGTGTCAGATTATTTATACCGTATAACAGTCGGTCTCATGCGTTCCTATTCTGTACCTGTATTGATCTAACAAACAATGACCAACACTCAGCCTTGTTATCACCACATCATTTCTTCAATTACCAAACTTATTTCTAACAACATCCACAAATCCTTGAACACAATGCATATGCCTACCTTTATCTCCATTATCCCACTCCCTCTGCCATTTAATACCTATTTCCTTTGCAATCATGCTTTTCTCTTCAGACTTACTAAATGTTATTTTAATTTCTAATTGAGTTTGTTGTAATGCTTGTTTAGCCAGCTGATGTGCCTCTTTATTGCCGACTTCTCTTATGTGACCAGGAACCCACAAGAAGCTCACAAAAAGTCCATACAGTCTTGCATCACCTCATTCACCATGTCCTGTCTTGCTATAGATGTTTCACTAATTAAGCTATTTATTATTGACAGACTGTGCATATTACTGAACTTAAAGGTTGCACTTGCCATTTAATTTTTAGAACTCTGTTTGTATGAAAACAGTATTAATGCATAAGGTATGTATTTATTTATTATTTTATTTATTAAAGAATGAAAATATACAACAACAATCAGGAGATAAATATAAGAGAGATACAAAAGAGGAAAAATACAAGCTAAATTAGCTGCAGAAAGAAAAAAAGGCTAACAAAACAAAGGAAGGGGTAAGTAAATTACAATTGTATAAAAGTGTATGAAAATAAATAAATTAAGAGCATTACAGGAAAGCTATCTAACTCAAATCAGAGTCAATAGACAACAGTTCTTTATAGAATCTAACACATTTTTTGTTGTTACACGTACGGAAAGGTTTGAGCAGTGAGTCAACTTCAATCAGAAAATTTCGCAAAGTAGGGACTGAAGCCATGGATTTTTGCTCATGTATAAAAAAAAATCCAAACAAGATAAAAAAGTTGAAAATAAATTATTTTAATTTTTGTGAAGATTCTGAGTAATAACAAATAATTTATTTTAAACTAAAAGATTGTGCAAAGGTAGGAGGAGTGTTTAAATAATGATCAAGGTCAACCCAAAATTTCTGAACAAATTCACACATACAAAATAAATGTAATAATGTTTCATCATCCTTACCACAAAATAATGCATCTGGTCAAAAGTCATATACAATACAAAAAATATGAAGGAATCAGCATTAGTGCTGGACTGCATTTTCATTCATGATTTAAAAAAATAATAAAATAAGCATATTCATCTAATTCTTCAGCTAAGAAATCATATTACATGAGGTAAATTTCATTGGGCTGCATTAATTAATAATATAGATTGGAGAAAAGCTTGGCTGTTGCCTCATAAATAGTTCATTCCTAATTAAACTAAAGAAATACACATTAAAATATTGCATAAAATATATCCGGCTAACTTATTTGTTTCCATATATATGTATATATATATATATATATATATATATATATATATATATATATATATATATATATATATACTTTTTTTGTTGTATTTTTTATTGAATACAAGAATAACAACATCACTGCATTCAAGAAAAATACAATAACAATATACATAAGAAAGGAGAGGGAAAAAAATTCAAAGCCTCAATCAATAGTCGAGAGCACGATCATTACCCGAGAAATACAGAAATATATATTTTATAGACAAATTTAAATAATGTTTAAGTAAGGACGATAAATCAAAAATAATGTTATTCCAAAGATGTTTAATGTGAGTGCAACTATAGAATAAGTGAAATAAAGTCTCTTCATGTATATTGCAGAAAGTCCACAAATTTGATATATCAAAATAATTAGCAATTTGGGAATTTGTAGGATAAACATTATGCAAGATCTTAAAATGTATCTCTCTTATTTTGTTGGATATGCTGAATTTTTCAGGTTATAATCATGCCCTCTTCCATTGAATGCAATCAGAAAATTGATCCAGAAAAATTTATTTGTTTCCAAATATGTTGACATTCCGAGTGGTAGTATGATCTTTCCGTCACGGACAGTGGGACGTGTCAAGAAAAAACTCTCTCATTGGCTATATCGCTCTAACGTCATTTTTCTGCGCCTAAAACTGAAACCCAGTGCTCCAGAGAGTGCTTATAAAATGTACATGCATCACCGGTAGCACAGGGGGTCAACATATGTGCGAACGATTATGTCCGAACCATGGCTTTACCCGACAGTTTTACTCTGCATATATGGATTTTTCAGCAGCCACAGACCACTGGAAGCTTTCCTAATGCCGTTTTTGATGGGACCTGATAAAAACCTGACAGAGACAGAGGTAAATTAGTTTCAAGGGTAACATGACGAAAGCGAACAGTAAAGTGATGTATGATATCTTAATACATGCAGACGGCTCTACGACAACGTATTTAGATACCTAAACCACTGTGTGTAACAAAAAGAGGCATTTGGGTGGAAATCGGGAACACGTGCGTTTACTTGACAGGGCTTCATATAAGTTGTATTACTTTAACTCTGAGCAATATTTTAAACAATCTACTTATGAAGGGAAAGATGTGACGAATTTATTGTAAACAATAATACTTGAGTGAAGGAATGCTGGCAGATTTCACATCTAGCTGGTGGGAACGTTGACTGGGGACATATTCTAAAACGCTGAACATGAAAAAAGCTTAATGTACTTAATAAACATCAACCAGAGAAACGCAACTTTCTGTCAGACTTTACTTGTAACGTTAATTAACCTCAACTACTTTAAAAAGAGCGAGCCCAATTCCATAGATAAAGTGAAAAACATCACAACAAACGTTTTCTCTAAGTCTATTGTAAGGAAAAAGCGTAACGTGGCTTAATGTATCTTAAAAAGTGGGAATTATAATTTTTTTATCAAATTTTAAACAGCTTTTCTTAACATTTGGCTTCCCTCAGTTGTTGTAAAGTTACGTTAAGCTCTTTCTTAAATGGACTTCAATGGGGAGAAAACAGTATAGTTGGTGTTAATTACAAGTAAAATTTGATAGATTTTTGGTGTGCCCCACTTGTTCAAGTACGTTGAGCCATGTTAAGCTTTTTTCTTTTATAGTGGACTTACAGTAAAACGCATAACGTGAAAATGTTCACTTACTAAAATTAGAGCTCGTTCTTTTCACATCAAAAAGTGTTTTGCTAGAAATTTATTTTCCCCGCTTGTTGTTGAGGTACATTAAGCCACGCTAAGCTTTTTCCATATAATATACTTAGAATTGACTTATAATTGACAGAAATGTTAGTTTCTCTGATTAATGTTTAGGTAAGCGACGTTAAGCTATTTTCACGTTAAGCGTTTTAGAATGTCCTGTTGACTGTTCCCAGGATCTAGATGTGAAATCTGCGGGTTAATTGGCCTAATACTAAGTTTAATCCCTTCCCAAAATCCTAAAGCTGAATCACAAGATTTCCTGTATTTTGAAAAAATAAAAAAAATAACTAAGCTTGCTAAAAAATATGTTATGCTTGAATCTTAGCTTGCTGTCAAGGCTTTTGGTCTGTCAACATTAAATAATTGTAACTTATATGTGCAATCATTTGATGAGCGGATGGGAATGTTTTTATGTTTAAATTTAAAAAACTAAAAAAAATGTCTGTGAAATACAAATCTTCTGGTACCATAATGATAAAACTTTAAAAAAAAAAAAAACTTGTTTGCCAAATCTAAGCCAAGTGGAGCCTCTTAAAACTGAAAGTAATATCACAAAAAGGGTCTCCACTGACCCTCATGACTTTTGCTTACTTTGTCTAGATGTACTACACTACATTTAAATTTAAACTTTTCTTTGTGAATAATAATAATATATTCATTTGTTAAACCCAAAGCGCTTACAAGAAAGTAAAAACAACAAAGCACAGTAAAACAATAAAAAAAAAATACAGTAAAAACACAGTAAGAATAAAAGATACCACAAATTAAAAACAGTCCTAAAAAGATGGGTTTTAAGTAGCTTTTTAAAACCGTCCAATGAACCAGCGTTCCTAATGTTAGTGGGATGAGAATTCGGAAAGAGAACGCCCTACCTCCCATGGTGCTGATTTTGCAGCGAGGCTGAGGTTGAAACAGAGTAGGACCAGAGGCAGAGCGTAGACAGCGAGAGGTAGAGGAAATGGATATCAGGTCACAGATGTAACCTGGAGCAGAACCATGAACCGCTTTATATGTTAAAATCAATGTCTTGCAATCGATACGAGACTTGACGGGCAGCCAGTGAAGCTGTTGGAGTATAGGAATGATGTGAGAACAAGACTATGTATGTGTCAACACATGTGCAGCAGAATTTTGGATGTATTGTAAAATCTTGAGAGAATTAGCTGGTAACCCTCCTAATAGAGAATTGGAAAAATCCAAGCGAGACGTGATAAAAGCATGGACGAGTCCTTTAGTATCAGGCCTCGAGAGAAAAGGACATAAGAGGGCTATATTTTAAAGATGATAAAAAGCCTGAATGTTAAAAAAAGTAGGGAAGAACGATGAAAACCCCAATTTAAACCTCTTTTTTTTACTTTCTAATTTTGTGTCTTCAAAGTATAATTATTAGTTCCAAAATGAATTCTCATACACTGTGGACTTTACCCCAGAAATGGACGTTAATGTGACTGCATGTCTCAGATAGGCATGGGACAATAAAATCAAATCAGTTGATTGAAATTAAAGGGGAAAAAAGTTTTGTAACAGTTTTGAAACAGACATTTAAAGAAATATATTTAGAGCAGTCATCACAATACCGTGAAACCGTGATATTTTTATCCAAGGTAATCATTGCAGAATCTTATACTGGCCCATGACTAGTCTCATGAGTGGAACACTTTGCAACATGAATTTTAAAAAAGTAATAAATGCAGAAATGTAATTTTTTTTATGGTGAAATGTTCATTGATATCACAAAAGATTTGAACATTTTGGCACTTGGTGTGTGTATTACAACTGACCCTGCACAAGTTTGTGCCCGGCTCCCCCCTTTGTTAAATACACCGTGAATAAAAATTGGGCATACCCAGGCATGGATCAAAATAAAATCCTGTATTTTGTATTTTGAAAATACTACAAAACAATTTTACGAGGGAGCATGATATTTCTTTGCAAACCTTCCATCAGAAGGCATATTCAATCAATCCCTTCACCATTGAACTGACTTAGTGAGGTAAACAGTGTTTGACAGCAACAGCTTTTCTCTGAGCATTCTCATTCACCTCTACTCCTGTACATGAGGAGGTAATCATAAACTTTTGTTTCTTTAATTTTAGTATGAATGTTGTTCAGATTTCATACAGAAAGTCCTGTCTTCAAGATGATCTCTGTAATCACTGTAAAAACCATGTAATGCAGATAATGAGTTGAAATAAATTACTATATATCTTTTCATTATGTTTTCATCCATTAAGTGGCCAGTAAAATTGGCAATTGGGGAGAATATGCAAATTCTACACAGAAATGCCAACTTGCCCAGCCAGGACCCAATCTAGCGACCTTTTTGCCCTTCAACCTTCTTGCTGTGAGGCTACAGTGTTAACTACTGAGCCACCGTGCCACCCTTGTTTAATTTATTATATTTCTTTTTTCACATAATGTTTGTTTTTATAAATCTAGTTTTTAGTAATCTAGTAAATCAACTGAAATCTTCAATACTCAATGTAAAAACATGATTTCTGAAAACTACTTAAATCTCCAGTTTTAGTAGTTTCCATAAATCATTTGTTTTGCAATTGTACTCTTCAATGCAAAACGTAAAACACGATATCTCCAAAAAATGGAGTTATCTGTTTTTGCAATAAACTTCATTTACATCATGCTGCTGTTGTCATGTCACAGGAGTCCAGACTGTATAGACTGGTGTATTTTTTGACCAGACTATAGAGTATGGAGTATTAAAAAATACGTGTCTCATATACTGTATTGTGCCACTTTGACATCTTCTTCAATAACTATAAAAAGCATCTGCAGATCAGTTACTGGCATCTGAAACAGCCAATGATATATTGTACGAATCGCCACTGTAAGACTTATTTTTGTTGGTTGTTTTATTTTCTTGGCATCACATCAGCAATCCATCCAAAACTACTATTATTTGCGGCGATTAATCATTCTGCCAAGATGTTTTCAGTTCTTCTTTAACTGAAAGAATCTCAGTTTACCCCCTTAGTGAACACCAGTACACAGTCTTTAGGTGTTTTATATTTCTAAACTTCCTCTGCATTTCCACCTGCAGTCCTGAGGCTGACACTGAGGATGTTCTGAAGCTCCTCATCTTGTTCTTCAGAACTTTTAAAAATATTTTAAAAGCATCAATCTAATTTTTTAAAATAACTTTTATGATGTCATCATGTAGACTTCTTACAAAGTATTTTACAGTATTTAAAAAAAAAACAAGACACTAAAGTATTTTGATATAAAATATTTACCAATTTTCATAAACTCTATCAAACACAAATGACAAAATACTATTTTGTATTTAAAATGCGGATCTGAAATAGTTGCATCAGAAATACTGCCTATCCTTGGACACAACACATTTGTTTACTGCCACATGAATAATCAGTGTTTTTTCTGCCAGTTTACTAAAAATGAGGAATTTTTTCAATTTGATGTTAACACCCAAATATATCACATGTCAGGAATTGATTGGATTTGATTCATTAATTGAAGCTCAATCTAAATGTTTCTGAAGCAGGGATTAGCAATATCTTATTGCTTGTAATAATATACCAGTTTAAATTCTCCCCACATTAAAATTCTACTTATTGTATTAATAATGATAAAACCTGTAATTAGTCTGTGCAATGAGCTATTATCACAGTAGTACATGTGCAATCATTTTGCATGTTTGAGCCTTATTAGAGATTTACTGACATATGTTCTCTGTAAACTTACTTCATAACACCAGTCGGGTGTTTAAAATAACTCATTTTTATGACCAGACATTGTTTAATCTCTTGAAAGGAAGGCAAAATCATACTGTTTTATATTGTTCAATACAGTGATAAAGGCTAGGTCAATTAACATTGCATTATAAATGTACTTTATGCATTTAAATAACATAGATGGCTTAAAAACACAAATAATCCATATGTTTGATCCACTTATTCGTTTCTATCACCTTTATCCTCCTTGCTGTCCTGAGCTGTCATATTTTCTTCAGTACAGTTATGATAATGGGTAGGGCTGCTCTACTATGGGAAAAATCATAATCATGAGTATTTTGGTCATAATTGTAATGATGATTATTTAAAATGATTATTAGTGTACTGTAAAAAAAACATTCTTGATGCATTAAATATTTAAATTCAGTCAAATGAAATTTTTTAGTCATCTCAACTTACATTTATTCAAACTGACTTAAAATATTAAGTTAAAATTTTTATAACTTAACAAATGTAGTTGAAACCTGATCTGATTAAAACAATAATCTAAATCTTGACCTAAATTTTTAAAATAAATTAAAGTAACAAAAATATTTGTTGTCTTGACTTTTTGCCATTGGATTTTTTACAGTGTGGGCCATATGTATAATATGTAGTTTTTTCCAGCCTTAAATAAGGTTGATAGTACACCTGTACATTTCAAAGATCATTAAATTTCACAATCCCTAATACTGAAGCAGAATAGGAGAAACTAACAAAAAGTTCTCACATTTATGGAAAGTAAATAAATAGAATAAAAATAAACTAATGCAACAAACTACGCTTTTTTCATCTTCATTGTAAGAATTAATCTTGGTTCATTTCTCATTGAAGCTACAAAGGTCCTTCAGTCAAGAGCATTGAGTGATTTTGTCTTTTTGTTTTTATTTGATTTAATAATGATAGCAACAGTTTAGAGCTTGAATAGTGTATTGTCGCTTTAAGACCTGTTTATGTTTTTTACTTACACTTGCAGTTTCATTCTTAACTCTTTTTTTTTTTTTTTTTTTTTTTTTTTGCTCAGTTATTTTATCATAGCAAATGGGGGTCAACTAGAGTAATTACTTCCCATGTTTTAGCACGTTTTTGCATGTATTTGAATAATTTTTTTGCCACCCCTTCAGCTGGGTGGTGCCCTAGGGAATCGCCTAGTTTGCCTGTGCCTAGAAATTATACTGAGTGGAACTAATACAACTGCTGGAAAGGGGGCAGGGTATGATTCAATAGTCATTTTATCTTGATTACTGTTTTTTCATGATCGTCGGAAGCCAAGATCAAAACTGATTTTCAATTAATCGCACAGCCCTAACAATGGCCATTTTTTTTGTCTCTCAGTGGATGCATATAAATTATCATCAATAATATCTTTTTTGCAATAATTACAAAAAAGATCATGAAATAGTGTCCAAGATACAACAAAATTAGTCAAACTCAATTCCTGGAGGGCCACAGCTCTGCATAGTTTATCTCCAACCACCTCCAACTCACGCCTGCTTTATAGTGTCTAGTATTCTTGAACACCTTGATTATTTGGATCAGCTGTGTTTGATTAGGGTTAGAGCAAAACTGTGCAGAGCTGCGGCTCTCCACAAATTGAGTTTGAGACCTATGATCTAGATGCACTTGAAGGCATTGTCAGTGATGTATGCTGGGATCACTGGGTGTTTCAAGTCTTTCAACATCAGACACCACAGTTTGCATCCCAGTAGCAATCACCCAAGGATCTGCTCTCTTTATTCATAGCCATCTTGAGGCTTTGCAAACGTAATGGCCCTCTTCTTAGCTGCTATTGCAAGGCCTAGTTGGTCGAAGATTTTACAGAGTGAATGCCCTGCTGACCCTAAACCTATATTGGCTCACAGTGGGTCCTCCAGCCCAATTCCCGGCACTTCTGGACTAGCTCCCGGTACTTTGAGCATTTCCTTCCGTTTGTCTTTTCCATCCACTCTTCCCAAAGCACTGTGAGTTTGAGCATAATCAACTGTCTCGTTGCCTCAGAAATAATAATTATGTATGGTCAGTGTTGTTGTTGTAACAATGGACTTGGCAGGGTATTGTACACAGCCTGGATGAGGAATCAGATGTGCTGGAATGTTTTTTCAGGTGTTCTTACATTGTAGGTTACCCTCCCACTTTGTCCATACCCCTAGCTGTCTCAGCCCCACTGTCCTGCTCACTCGCTCTTCCGCCACGCCAGCTCGACCTTCTTCCTGGACAAGCTGGTGTCTCTTATTTCCTCTGGCCTTGCCCACTAGGGTCTTTGGAAAAAAATCTAAAAAGGCCTAAATCTATAGATTTGAATTTATATCACCAATAATTATTCTGGAGAACTAATTTAAAATTATTTTAAGTACGTACAAATATTAAGATTTAAAGAGATCATTTTTATATGAAAATGTTCTTACTATATTCTCTCCCGCAAGTGGTTCCAAACCTTTAAGCTTCTTTTTATTTCTGTTTCTATAGATCTTCTTCAAAGATATTAAAAGAAAGCCGAAAACCTGTATATTGACTTCCATAGCAGGAAAAACAGAAACTAAGGAAGTCAAATGTTACAGGTTTTTAGCTTTCTTCAAAATCTCTTTTGTAGTACACAGAATTAAGAAACTCAAACAGGTTTGGAACAAGTGAAGGGTGAGTAAACGATGACAGAAATTTCATTTTTCCTATGTTCTTAAGTAGGGCTGCTACTCAAGAACATAGCTAAGAACATAGGAAATATATAATACTTAAGAATATATGAAAATATATAATATTATATGTTAAGAACATATAATATTTAAGCATTAATATCGCAATGGGATCATTCGCAATAGTCATATCGTGGGATCTGCAATGTTTGGTTAAGTTTCAGTTTAGTCATCCCTTAGGACATTTGAGTGTTCTAGTTGACCAGGAATCACATTGAGTCATTGTGAAGTTTAACCTTAAAGGTTGTGTTGTGCTTTGAAATATATCTTTTTATTCAATGTTTGATGTAATCTCAACTGAAACACGAAGAGAGGGTGGAACATAGTGTATCTCCTCCCTTTTTAAATAAAACAGCCAATAGTGTTTTGTTTTATTACAGCTCTGTCATTGAGAGTGGTTGAGCTCAAGTGCATCAAATGAAAAGCAAATTAGAAGCTTGTCTTGAAGGGGGCAGGGCATGTCAGATACTAGAGGGCATTTGATTGGTTATCGTGTGATGAGAAACTGTAGTGTGAGGTGACGTGAATAAAACAGAAGTGACAAACTACAAGCTTTACATTCAATTCAGGTCATCTTTATTTCTATAGTGCTTTTACAATGTAGATTTTGTCAAAGCAGCTTAACATAGAAGATTATAGTAAATTGAAACAGTGAGTCCAGTTGTCAGAGTTTAAGTTCAGTTTAGTTCAGTTCAGTGTGATTTAATTTAATTAATTAATTAAAAGTCCAAACACTTGAAAGCAAATCCATCGGTTCAAGAGGGAAACCAAGGCTCAGTTGGGTACTACCATTTCTCATCTGGCAAAACTTCTTGTTTATATCAGTGTTATATCTCCTAAATGCATTTTTTCACTGTTTTGGAGCACACTAGCTTATAGATATCCTAAACATGAATAATGCTGATAATAACATCTAAAAAAAAAATATTTTAATTTCATGGGACCTTTAAAAGATTTAAAGTTTGCTTGTTTGCTTTGTTTTTAGGGACTATGACTTGTAAGTTTTGAAGTGCTTTTAATAATTTGTTTTTTTTAAACAATGAAGACTGTTATTCTTTACATTTTATTGTGCAACTTGTTTTCGATTTCGTAGGACATTTAATCTGTAGTTAAACTATTAATCCCAATCAATTAAAATTAGGGGTTCTTTTCAAATTGAGCTATTTAAGTCATCTGGTAAAGTAATAATATTCATATCACAGGTAATTAAACATTACAATGTCATTTTTTCCCCAATATCGTAATGTATATCACAGAAAGATATTTCCAGTATCATTGCAGCCATATTCTTAAGCCTCATTCACACTACGAGCAATTTGCAGCGGCAAAGCGACTTCCGGTGGCCTCCATCTATGCGAGTGACAGCAGCTGTTGGCGACCAGGTGGGCGTTTCGAGCGATGCAACAAAATTGAGAATCCTTCAACTTTATGCAAATGCAGAGCGACTAATCATAGGAGCACCAGTTGAGCTTACTTAAATTTCTCTTGGCTCGCTCAGAGGACATTTGTATTTGAGCTGCATATACCTACACAGACCTGCGTTTGCAGCAGGTTGCCACCCTGAGCCATAAAGTTGCTGCTAGTGTGAATGAGGAATTAGGCTAATTGTGTTTTAATCAAAATCATTTGACCCTTCTAACTAATTGAATTTTATTACAGGTTGTGAGCGAGATCTACCCATTATGGACATATTCCTACCTTGCCCTGCTCTTCCCTGTTTTCCTGGCCACAGATTACCTTCGCTACAAACCTGTGATTATTCTCCAGGCGGCCAGCTATGTAGTGACGTATGCTTTGCTCGTGAAGGCCCAGGGTCTGCAGGCCATGCAGATAGTGGAGGTCTTCTTTGGTCTGGCAACTGCCACTGAAATTGCTTACTATTCCTACATATACAGTGTCGTGGAGCCGTCTCATTATCAGATGGTGACTGGATTTTGTCGCAGCGTGACTCTTTTAGGCTCAGCCATGGGCTCTCTTCTTGGACAGATTCTGTTCTCTGTAGCAGATATTGCACTGTTTTACCTGTGTGTCATCACACTCGTGTCTTTCTGCATCGCCTTTGTTGCCCCTTGGTTCTTACCGATGCCCAGTAAGAGCCTTTTCTTTCACCAAAGTGAGAGCAGCTCTCAGGATGAAGCAGTTCTGGAAACCGTGAACACGAGTCCACTGATTGAGAAGCCAGAGGATCCTGAATCCAACAAGCAGCCTAATGCAAATGAGAAAACGGTAGGTAGACTTTGTGGTATAATTTAAAATATAAAAAGTAGATGAATCATACATAATTATTTTTTACATAAAGTAATTTTATTTATTAAATTATTTAAAACTTGATCTGAGGTGCGTTTCCCAAACAACGACACAACTTGTGCCTGAATTATCATAGTACGATGCATCGTTTGGGAAAATAACAATGTAAAAATAACAATGTTGTTTCCAAAAACCCATAGTTTTAAGTATACCTTGTTAGTTATAACGTAAAACACCCATAATTATGCTCTAAACAGGGTGGTAACAACTTCGTTCGAAAAGATTCCATATTTTAATTTGTATTATAAATTAGATGGTTTTACACACACACACACACACACACACACACACACACACATTAAAAAAAATATTAGTTTTGGTTAAAACATGCTCTCGTTTTCCATATTAATTTAATTATATGTAAATGGCACATATAGGGCCTTTGTTTCCTTTACAAATAGCATTGAGGACATTACATATTCTATGCTAAAACATAAAATCACTTACAAAAGCTAACGTATTCTAATATCATATTTAAATCATAAAAATAATTTAATAATGAGGCTATTTTTTAAGAAGTTCAATTTAATATTTAACGTGCAAACCCGTGCAGAACTATTCAAACCAACAGGCCCATGTCATATCCACTACAGATACTTAATAAATAACCTCCTATAAATGAAAAGCATTATCGTATGCCATGTTTTTGTTTTCACAAGCTTTGGAGACGTAACAAATTCTGCTTTTAAATAATGGGTTACCTATAGAACACAGCCAGGAACTATGCTTCTAACTACAGCTCCAGAGGTGTAGATGCAAGTGTACAACGAACTATGTTTGTAACGATGGAGCTTGCGACCTTAGTTGGCTAAAGATGATTTTTGGAAAAAATCCACAAGAGCAAATAAAAATTTCATTTTTTGAAATTAACCAGTTCAAAAGTTCCATTAACTCTATTCTCAATAGTGTGTTTTTACCTGCTGTATTTTTGTTGATGTTCAATAATAGTGGTTCTTGAGTCGCATTTTTTGCGACAAACAGTTAAACTTTTTTTTTTTTTGTGACAAACAATTTAAAAAAAATTTAACAGTTAAAAATAAGCTCACTTTAAAAATGTTTTTAAAATTCTTCAAGTTGACAAATGTTTAGTTTTTCAGCATTTATGTGTATTTGAACCCTTTTTTTAAAATAATTGTTCAATTTGTTTTGTTAGGGATCACTTGTCTTTAAATGAATTTTGTCATCATGTACTCACTCTCTTGTCATTCCAACCCCGTTAGATTTCATTCATTTTTAAGAATTCAATCAAGATATTTCTATGAAAATCGAGTCTTTTTTTTTTCCACTAAAATGTAGGTAAACAGAGCCGAAAAGATCCACAAAGGGAATCTAAACCAGTGTTTCCCTAACCCTGTTTCTGAAGGCACACCAACTGTACACATTTTCCATCTCCTTCCAATCAAACACAAACAGAAGTATGCATATGCCTACACAAACAAGCTCAAACATGCATGCGTGATAAATGATTATTTATATTTTTACAAGACTTCTATTATAATTTAAATCGACATAAAAACATAAATTACAAGAACCCATGCATGTTCTTGGGACTAGATTTAAGTCTTAAATTGCCCCATTTATATGGATAGAGTTGTCCGTATTGTGCTATTTTTAAGGTTCTTCTTTTGTTTTGTTGGTCTCCTGCAGCATGTTTACATGCATCCAAGGTAAAAAAACACTTACAGGTTCTTTTAGATGGTTCACTTCTGGTGCAACTGGTGCAAATAATCATTTCAGAGGTTGTTGTGGTTCATTGCGTAATAACACAACGAGAACATACATTCACTGGCCACTATATTAGGTACACCAGTTTAACTGCTTGTTAACGCAAATTTCTAAACAGCCAATTACATGGCAGCAACTCAATACATTTAGGCATGTAGACATGGTCAAGACGATCTGCTGCAGTTCAAACAGGGCATCAGAATGGGGAAGAAGGGTGATTTAAGTGACTTTGAACGTGGCATGGTTGTTGGTGCAGATGGGCTTGTCTGAGTATTTTAAAAACTGCTGATCTACTGAGATTTTCATGCACAACCATTTCTAGGGTTTACAGAGAATGGCCTGAAAAAGAGAAAATATCCAGTGAGCGGGCGTAAATGCCTTGTTGATGCTAGAGGTCAGAGGAGAATGGCCAGACTGGTTCGAGCTCATAGAAAGGCAACAGTAGCTGAAATAACCACTTGTTACAACTGATCTATGCAGAAGAGCATCTCTTAACGCACAACATGTGGAACCTTGAGGCGGATGGGCTACAGCAGCAGAAGATCACACCGGGTGCCATTCCTAGTCAGGCGTCAGCTAAGAACAGAAAACTGAGGCTAAAATTTGCACATGTTTATTAAAATTGGACAATAGAAGATTGGCAAAACTTTACCTGTTCTTATGAGTCTTGATTTCTGCTGCGATATTCGGATGGTAATGTCAGAGTTTGGCATCAACAACATAAAAGCATGGATGCATCCTGCCTTGTATCAATAGTTCAGGATGGTGGTGGAGGTGTAATAGTGTGGGGGATATTTTATTGGCACCCTTTGGGCCCATTAGTACCAGTTGAGGATCGTGTCAACTCCACAGCCTACTGGGGAATGTTGCTGACCATGTACTCCTCTTCTGATGGCTACTTCCAGCAGAATAATGCGCTATGTGTCAAAGTTTAAATCATCTCATACTGGTTTCTTGACCAGTGAGTTCACTGTACTCAAATGGCCTTCACAGTCACCAGTTCTCAATCCAATAGAGCACCTTTGGGATGTGGTGGAATGGGAGATTCGCATCATGGATTTGCAGCCGACAAATCTTTTGCAACTGTGTGATGCTATCAGGTCAATATGGATCAAAATATTTACAGTACCTCGTTGAATCTGTCACAAAGAATTAAGGCAGTTCTGAAGACAAAAAAAGGGTCCAGTGTACTAGTAAGGTGTACCTAATAAAGTAGTCGGTGAGTCTATTTTAAACAGCTAATTATGTTATGTCATGCAAAAATTAGTAAGTATTGTCATATTTAGTTCATTGAGACAATGTTCATTATTACTTTATCAATTTAATTTAATGTTGTTGTCACTCTTTATTCTGTGACGCTGCATTTGCATTTTCTACATTGAAATTTTGCACTTGGGATGGACATTACACTCCACTAAATAAAAGACAAATCAGTCTTCTAAACTGCATGATGCAGCATTTCATGTTGTAATTGCATTATATTGGAATATCGAGTAAATCATTTCAGCAATCAGAATCAAAATCAATTGTAAATACTTTGAAACTGAACAGCAACTTCTTTACTGTGATGCATAATGCATACAAACAATCTGGAAATTATAATTTAGTTTGTTTTAAAGTTTTACCAAAGTCTTTAGATTGGAATGATGTTTTAGGTGACAATCCTTTCAATAATGGCCCACTCAGTTGACAATTATAAATCAAACACATGCATGTTTATCAAGTTACTGTACAACAAGTTTTGTCTCAATTGTTTGACTTTTAGACTCTGAAAAGTAATACCAGCAGCAGTGGATTACTGGACGTATTAAAAATGCTGTGGACCGACTTCCTGCAGTGCTACTCCTCCTCCACCCTACTGGCTTGGTCTGTGTGGTGGGCTTTGTCCACTTGTGGTTACCTCCAAGTGATTAACTATGCTCAAGCACTTTGGGAGGATATCTTAACTTCCAAAAATTACGACATCTACAATGGATACGTGGAGACCATTTCTACATTGCTTGGTATGGCCATCTGTTTTTCTGTTTAGAATTCACTTAATTGTATTCCCGTTATTAAATGGCTCCTGCTTTTTCTGTTAAGCATTTTTTTTTTCTGTGGTTTGTCAATTTCACATTCATGTATAACAAAAGAGACACACTATATCATGTGATTACCAATCAAGGCAAGTTCAAAGATCAAATCTAATTTTTTTTATTTTACAATTACTCTTAGTGTATTATATGGTCGTCAACATTTGAAGTGGTTCAAAACCTTTCTTCAACGTTGTCCTTAAGCTATTGAACAACACCCATTTATGCCTAAATAAACTTTTCTACTTCATATGTTGACTACTTTAGATGTTTGTGACCATGTCAAAGGGAAGTAAATAATTCTGAAGCAAATCATTGATTGCGTAATGCTCTCCTACTCACTGCTTTGCTTCACTCTCAATGAGTTTAGGTATGTGATTAGCTATGACAAGGATTTTGTTTTCTAGTGCCTTGTGTTTCCATAAGCTTAGACTGGTATGGCAAGACTGCCAACATAGTTGATGTAGATATAATGCTGTTTAGATTTAATCCTGCTCATGAAGCCTTAAAAGCCAAAACATTTAGACTTTAGGACTTTTAGAAGAGGTAGGTTTCAAAGACATGGAAAACAAAGTTCAAAGTAGGATACACGCTTTTTTTTTTCCTTCTCAATATTAGTAATGCACCTTTAGAGAATCTTTGGCCAATATCGATAACTGATAATGCTTAAGATTTGGAGGCCGATAACCGATAAACTATAGCAGGTAAATGAACATTTCAAAATGTTATATAACAATAACAATAAACAACTGATTTTATTTAAAAAACTTCATAAAAGTTTGTACTGATCTTATGAACTGTAATAATTTCAAAACTGCAAGGTGATTATATAGACCTATATTTAGGATTTTACATAAATTAGCATGCCAAAAATAAATTACTTCCTTTTCTTTCGCATAGCAAATTAACATGCAACTTAACTGTTGCATAAAATAATTGGTTAAATTACAAAATGGGACATGATTAACAAACAAGTTAAATAAAAAGGTTTTAAGTAAAATGAAAATAAAAGAACTAAAACTAGCTCAAATGTTCTTGAATGAAGCGTGTCACAGTAATGTACACATGTACAAATATGTAATGTCCAAAAGCGCGTTTTGAGAGGGGTTTTGACAGTTCAGAGCCACTGTTCGTTCTTGCTGTCAATTGCGGGAACAATGAAAGGTTTATGACAAACTGCTGAGTTTCAAACTTTAACTGCAGGTGCGGTGATGCGCATAGATGAGAAGGAAGTCCGATTTTGATACAACACCTGAGCATCTAGCACACATACCTTTATGACAAATACAGTGCATGATATAAAGACAGAATGTGGAGGAGGCTTGAGAATGGTGGATTCAGTGACTGGTGCACCTCTCCCCTGCTGCTGTGAAGGCTCTGATCTGCTTGTTAAGTGATGACATATTTGTGACGTATGTAATACTGTTTCCGGGTCCAAGCCGCCATTCACTTAAGTGGAGAAATCATTCGTTTATGATCACTTTTTATTCCTATCAAACATTAAAGTTAATTTTACATAAAGTCATAGTGTACACAACAATCTCTGGGCTTGCTGCATAACAAATACCATAATTTTACCAATTTATAAAACAATAAATCACTTTCTGGCCATCGGATATTAGGCATGGACATATATATTGCGATCGTGACTTTCGAAAGCCTTAAATCGCTTTGTAAACCTTTATTATTACCATTTCATGAATCTCCCCATTCAGTTGAATAGAGCGCTTGGACCCGGAAGCCGCTCTGCGTGACATCACACTTAACAAGCGGATAGCTCACTACTCACTAGTGTGTGGGCGTGGTAACAGCCATCACATGCGCTTATAAATATGCCGGATAAACTGAATGCAATCTTACATGCATGGCTGCTATTAATTTTACACATTAAATATTTTCCTGAGGCGATTAAAACCAAACATGCACAAAGAAAGGGCGGAGTTTGAAGTAATAAACAATATGAGGAAAGCTCAAGTACACTGGACAAGTCTGAACAACTTTGACCCACATATGCGCGAGGCAGGCAATTCTGTACAGTGACGTGACCTATCGGCTTAAAGATATCTGCCTTATTTTGATATCGGCTCGATAACGATAACACTAAAAGTAGCATTTATCTGCAGATAATGATATGGCACCTCTATATACATCCATCAGACACTTTAAAAAAAAAAAAAAAGAGTCTGTGAAGCCTGTGAGATTTCTGACCCCGTTAAAGGACTCATGATATGATATGTTTTTGTTTGTTTGTGTTTTTGTTCCATGTTCCCTTAGATGCAATAAAAATATTACTAAAGGCCAAAAACAGTAAAACATTACAATATTTATAACCTTTTGTTATTGGTTGCTGCAAACTGCTGCTGCTAGATGGCATCGCCTTGCCCCATAGGATCCAGAACGAGCAGTTTTTGAAACTGTTAAATAATAAGCTTTTTTATAATGAAGATGACTTCCTAAGCTATGAAATTTCTAGGAAGTTTTAATGGAACAAAGACCTCTTATTTGCCAAAACATCAAGGCAAATTTGATTTCTCATGTCATGTCCCCTTTAAAATGGTCTACCCAAAAACAATAATATGGTAAAAAAAAAAAAAATCCATGTTTTATGAAAAACAATTTGCACACATATGGTCTAAAATATATATATATATATATATATATATATATATATATATATATATATATATATATATATATATATATATATATATATTTATAACTAAATATCTTCCACATAAATATCTGTTGTGCATTCATTCGAGAACCACAAAAGCTGCAAGCGATTACATTCCCATGTACCCCCCCCCCTACCCCCCCAAACAAAAAAAAAGGATATTTACTGTTTAAAATTCACGAAATCAAATCTTGTAAATCAGGGATGCCAACTTTTTCACCCTAGTCTTCTTTTATTGCTCAGGTAATGAAATTTGAGGTTTGCTTGGCAGTAAATCTCAGGCTTCTTGCAAAAGTGTTGTAATTGAGCATGGGCACTTTAATAGGATTTGCCATGATATAAAAAGTTTATTTTATTTGTTCCACCAGGTGCTTTTGCGGCATTTGTTGTCGGCTATGTAAAGGTGTCCTGGGCCGTGTGGGGAGAACTTGCGCTCTGCATTTTCACTGTTGTAATTGCAGTGTGTGTGTACCTCATGTACGCTGTCAGAAATATCTGGGTTTGCTACACCTCCTATATAATCTTCAGGGCTGTCTACATGCTTCTCATCACCATTGCAACGTGAGTAAATCTGTCAATCTCTACACATTTCCTTTAGTCTTTGTATCGGACCATGTTCAAATGATAAATATATACTTTTTTTTAAATGTTTTCCTTAATAAGTGTCATTTTTTTAATACAATCTGCTCAACCCCAATGATGAAATGAGGTCATCTGACATATTTCAAGATCGTAAAATAAGTCAAAATATGAAATAGGAAGGAATACATCACATGATGTTTCAATGATGTCTCTCTAATATGCAGTTAAAACCAACGAGTGCATTTAGCGAGTGGTTCTTTCACTGTTTATTTTGTGCATGTGTAACGGTCTTATGCCACCCAACTTGCTCCGAGCTTGTATCGAACCGGTGACCTTCCGAATGGGAGTCAGTTGCTCTACCAAGGAGGCTAGAGCTAGAGGACCTTTAGGTTGTTAGGTTTACCTGCACAGCGCTTCACTAGCTGGCCTCCGTTACACATGAATAGTTAATGCCACATGGAATGTAATGGGTTTTACATTCATAGTTTATTTTAAAATAAATATAGCAAAATGTTCGTTAAGAGGTACATTTTCGCTGAAGGAAACAACTGTGATGATGAGGTGAGGAAACAGAAGCTAGATGGGGAAACCCGATTGCTCCCCCACGACATTGGAGTACAAGTGATTGAGTGTTTCTATAGCAAGCAAAGAACTGCAAATATGCAGATAACATAACAATTTATCGATAAACACACACCGCCAGTGTTTTACTGATGTAAATCTGTTAACAGTGTGTTTGGATTCTTAAAAGATTTTATATTTATTTTATTTAAGCTGCTGTTGTTATTTTGTTAATTTGTCATGCCAACTGACAACTTCGTTAAAAAAATGGCAGCAATGTTTAAGAGGTTTTAAATATACAGTAGTATAGTATAGCATACTTTGTCATTATGATTGGTCTTTCTTTGGCTCTGTTAAAACACCACATCAAGCCTGCAAAATTGCAAATCGCACTTTTTATTTGAAAAATCACAATTTGATTTTTTTTTCTTCAAATCGTGCAGCCCTAGACTGTTGAATTTTTTAATTTAAAGACAGAATCAATCTGTGAAATGTTTGTTTATTTACAACCGATGTTGCCAAAGTTCTCTTTTTTGGAATTTTAATGTTAGTTTGAAAAAATGTGGTGGAAAAATTGCAGTACTTAACAGAATATTGCAATATATTTAAAATCACACTAATATTGTATTGTGATAAGTATCGCAATAATATTGTAACATGGAGACCATTTTCACCCCTATCAAAAAATGTAGATGACCAAAGACTTGATGGTGTCTGCTGTGATTATTTCAATGCACTATTGATATGGTAGCAAGAGGTTTTGACAGTTTGAAAGCACATTACCCTGAGCAATGTGGAAAAACACAACACAATCTAAATGTCAAGGTTTTCTTCTTGACCTTTTGGTATTATAATAAATGATCTTTGCACTTTAATTCGAAAATAACATTTGCTGCTGTTGTTGATAGGGTAACAAGAGTTTTTGACAGTTCAAAAGCACAATACTCTTAGCAATGTGGACAGTATAACACAATCTACAGTAAATATTAAGGTTTTTATTAGAATTATTCCTGTTCTTTGCACTTTCAATGCCAAAAAATGTTTGCTGTTGTTGTTCTAACCTTAATGTAAGCTATCACCAATGTTTTACTGATGTAAAATTGCTTACAGTGTGTTTGTTTTCTTTAAAGTTTACGGTTTTATATATATTATTTCATTTAAGCTACTGTAGTTATTTTCTTAATTTGACAATTTCTTAACTGACAACTTCATAAAAAAAAATGTTTAAGAGGTTTTAAATATGCAGTAGTATAGTGTAGCGTACTTTGCCATTATGATTGGTCTTTCTTTGGCTCTGTTAAAACGCCACATCAAACCTGCAATATTGCAAATCTCAATTTTTATCAGAAAAATCCCAATAAAATTTTTCCTTCAAATCGTACAGCCCTAGTTCGTAGATTTGCATAGTAGAAAAAATACTAAGAAAGTTCTTGTTTACCACCATCAGATGTTTGGGTATCATATCATCCAAGAAATGTATTAATATTTTGTTCACCAAAAAAAAAAAAACTCTTTTGGAACAAGATTAAATGATGACATGATTGTTTAATTCCCATTAAAATCTAAATAAATTGACTTGTTCTGCAATGAGAAGCTTGTGTTCTTTTTATATTCCAGGTATCAGATTGCTGCAAACCTAAGCATGAAACGATACGCTTTGGTTTTCGGGGTAAACACATTCATCGCACTCTCGCTGCAGATGCTTCTCACAGTGATTGTAGTAGACTCTGCTGGTCTACACCTGGAGATTTCCATACAGGTAAAGTACAGCATGAACTCGGCATGTTTTCAATTCTTGTGCATCACTAATGTCTGCTAATATTCTGTGTTTGCGCTCTTCTGCAGTTTTTGATCTACGCCAGTTACTTTGCAGCAGTAGCTGTGATATTCTTTATCGCTGGGCTGTATAAACTGTTCAGAAGCAGGACGTCTGGAGGACAGAATGAATTGTCTTCAGCAGAGGCTTGAAACAACTCGCATCAGCATCTGTTAAGCACAAGGTTCTAAAGATATACTCTGTTTAACTGAATGAGTAGGTCAAAATAATAGGAAAGTCAGCTTTGCCAAATTCGTTTGATCGATCCAACTTTAAAAATTTTATAAGCACTGATGATAATGATTGTGACTGAATATTGTAAGTGGCTGCTGTGGTTCACTGATTATGTGGGACAAAATGCATTTATGTAAATGATACCATTATGATGCCTTACTGAATGGCTGTTACTTGAAACTAAGAAACTATAGCTAAAAAAAAAAATCTGTTTTGATTCATGGGGGTCATGAAGTGCCATTTCACGAGTTTTGTTTCACAAGGTTAGTTTGCTATATATATATATTATATATAAATATATATAAAAATGCTGTAAAAACGGTTTAATATTTTGCCACCTTTAAATTGGTTCTGTCTGCATTCCAAGCAGTTTTGAAATGCTGAGCTCTGAAGCATTTGTGTTGTGCATAGCAAAAATTATATAAGGAACAAGTCTATTTCATGCATGAAAACATCAGGGACACTAAATCCTCTTAAATCTATAAATTTTGATTTTTTTGGAGCAGGTCGAATGTTAATGGAACATTCTAATCCAAAATCCAATGCAACGATTAAATTGAATGCTGATCTAGTTCATATTTTAGGTTGGAAATAAATCTTGTTCAGGTATAATGACAGAGCTAAATATTTTGTCCAATGCAGAAGTTAATTATAGGTGGGAATATGGTGGATAATTAAACTTTCCCTTTTTTTTTTTTTTAGAGCATGGGTGCCCAAACTTAGTCCTGTAGGCCCGGTCTTCTGCATAATTTAGCTCCAACTTCTTTAAACACACCTTACTGGAAGTTTCTAGAATAGCTGGAAATAGCTTGATTAGCTGGTTCATGTGTGTTTAACTGGGGTTGGAACTAAAATATGCTGGACAACGGCCCTCCAAGACCAAAGTTGGGCACCCCTGCTTTAGACAGAAAGCTGGAAGTGCTACTGCAATTTCTCTGTAGAGATGAATACGGGTGAAATGACAATATTTACTGTTGTAATTAAGATCCAGCATTAGTAGAATGTAAGTTATGGTGCAATCTGCTAGAAAACTGACAATTATTCAGCATGCTTTGCTTTACATATAAAATATTTCAGTTATTTTATCTGCGCTACAACAGTTTGTAAAATAGATAGCTTCCCTTCTATGGTAAAATAAAGGGAATCAGTTTTACTAAAGCATGGGAGGATTAGGAGTTCTGCATTTAAATATCTACATCAATATGCTGAGTCTTTTAGTTGATTTGTATAATGGCATTCTCTCAATTTTGTTAACAGCACTATCCATCACATTTTAAATGTTGGCTTTTATATCACATCTTGCTCCCTGAGATTTTCCTGATTGGTCTTTTGTATTCAAAGCGCTGATTGGCTCACAAATAGAAAAGAGACACGCACAGAAAAAGAATTTGACTTTGGTAGGACTTCAGATTACACTTTTCAAATTTATACATAAAAAGTCTCAATATACACTAGTTAAAAAAGGAAACTTTGCATCATATTAATAAGTGATCATAGAATAAGTCAAATAACTCATTTTTAGGAGAACCTTGTCATTCAAAGGTGGCGATTTATTAATAAATCGTAATTTTTCATTCTCATTTTCATACTTGATGTCAAGCAGTGTTAGCTTGTGCAGTACTAAAAGTAAACGGCCATTGCTGTGATTGGACAGACTTTACAGCAATGTCGATAAAAATTTTGAAATTTTTTTATCGACTTCACAGTCGATAAAAATTTAACTTGTTATCTCCCAATTTCAACTCCAAGCATTTCTTAAGGATCGTACACAATTTCTCTACAACTAAAATAAAACATAAGTGATTTAAAAATGATATGCGTTTATTAGAAACATTTAGATTTGTCCATCTCATGACCCCTTAAAACATAATACAGAAAAATATCTGTTAAGTTATACATTCATTAAAGCTATTTATTTCCCTAGTCTATTGTATGAAGGTGGACGATATAATGAACTTGTATATCGTTAACAAGAATTAGGCCAATACAAGTTGGCCACTATAATGGCTAGTTTGAATTTCGCTACTTTTTGTTTTCTTTCCTTTGTCGTTTTTTGTTGTTGTTAAATGTATTCCAACTGTTCAGAAGAGGGTGACCATTTGCACAATGACTAACTGATTTTTGTTATTGTTGTTGAATATAATATATTTTTGTTAGCAAAACTTGATGGGGCTTTTGTCAGCTAGCGGTTTAGTCATTTATACTGTGAGTGATTTGACCTCTGATAATCACAGCCTTGCAGTCGCTGCTGTTCTAAATCTGCAAGTATGATCAGTGTTATTTAAAAATTGAGAAGGATTCAATGACTCAGTCAAACAGATAATCACATGTTCACTTGCATTCAATTACCAGATGTTACAAAAAGCATAATGGTAAGCATGGATATCAGTATCAGGCAAAATGTCCACATTATTGATACTAGATAATCAATTAATAGACAGATACACAAATTTTGATATGAATTATTCTGAGCCTGATTACATAATACGCAAACACATACAGTGGGCAACTGTTATTATATTTGCGAATTTGAAACCTTTGTTTGCTTTATTTGTTTGTTTGCTTTATTTATAGAGCACATTTAAAAACAACAGATGTTGATCAAAGTGCTTTACAAAAAGACCAGCAAACAAAATCTATATCTATATTTAAAAATAAGCAAAATATATAAAACAGATTCAAAATAATTAATTGCAATCAAAAGGCAAGAGACAGAAGGTGATTTTTTTAGATGAGACTTAAAAGCACCAAGTGAAGAACATGACCTGATATGTAAAGGCAGACCATTCCACAGTCGAGGGGCTGCAGCAAAAAAAAGCCCTGTCACCTCTTGATTTCGACCGTGTTTTGGGGACAACTAGCTGAAACTTGTTTTCCCACCTGATTGGCCTCAATGAAGTGTGCCAGTGAAAAAGCTCAGAGATGTAAATAGGTGCCAGACCATTCAAACTATTAAAAACAAGTAGCAATAACTTATATTGAATCCCAAATTGGACTGGGAGCCAGTGAAGAGATGATAAAACTGGTCAGATACTAGAAATTTTTTTTTGTCCCAGTTAAAAGCCTAGCAGCTGCATTTTGAACCAGCTTCAGGCGTGCAATTGATGCCTGCGAAACTCCTGAATACAAAGAGTTACAGTAGTACAATCTGGACATAATAAAAACACAAACTTCAAAACCTTAAACATCTACATTTTTCTAATAACACTAACATTAAAAATACGCAAATATGGGCCGATACAGGGATGGTCATGCATCACTAGTAAAAAGTTGCTTATTTATTACTTGATAATCTTAATTGGAACCAAAAGTATAATTTGACAACAGTTTATTATGTTGTTCCAGACAGAATCTGTGGATGGTTTTTTTTACGCAGAGAAAAAATCTGCTGATTTTTGCTGAATGAGTTTGGTAGTATTGTAACTAAACGTAAAACTAGAAATAAAAAAACTAATGACTTCATTTGTTTAGTAAACAAACCAAATCTTTCATATAATATACACTCACCAACATTATTAGGTACACCTTACTGGTACCGGGTTTGCCTATAGATCTGCCTAAATCTTTCGTGGCATAGATTCAACAAGGTACTGGTAATATTCCTCAGATTTTCGCTGTCTGTAGTTGCTGCAGATTTGTCAGCTGCACATACATGATGCAAATCTACCATTCCACCACATCCTTAAGGTGCTCTATTGGATTGAGATCTGGTGACTGTGGAGGCCATTTGAGTACAATGATTTATTCCTTATGACATGGCATTTTATCCTGCTGGAAGTAGCCATCAGATGATGGGTACACTGTGGTCATAAAGAAATGGATACGGTCAGCAACAATATCAGGTAGCCTGTGGAGTTGACACGGAACAGTTTGGGCCTATTAGTACCAATTGAGCACCAAGTAAATATACCCCACACCATTAAACCACACCAACCAGCCTGAACCATTGATACAAGGCAGGATGGATCCGTGCTTTCATGTGGTTGACATCAAATTCTGACGCTACTATCTGAATTTCGCAGCAGAAATTGAGACTCATCACACCAGGCAACGTTTTTCCAATCTTCTGTTGTTCAATTTTGGTGAGCCTGTGCGAATTGTGGCCTCAATTTTCTTTTCTTAGCTGACGGGAGTGCCACCCGGTGTGGTCTTCTGCTGCTGTAGCTCATCTGCCTCAATGTTGGACGTGTTGTGCGTTCAGAGATGCTCTTCTGCATACCTCAGTTGTATCGAGTAGTTATTTGAGTTACTGTTACCTTTCTATCAACTCGAACCAGTCTGGCCATTCTCCTCTAATCTCTGGCATCAGCAAGGCATTTGCACCCACAGATCTGCCGCTCACTGGATATTTTCTCTTTTTTGCACCATTCTGTTTGTAAACCCCAGCAGATCAGCAGTTTCTGAAATACTCAGACCAGCCTGTCTGGCACCAACAACCACATTCAAAGTCACTTAAATGACCTTTCTTCCCCATTCTGATGCTCTGTTTGAACTGCAGCCGATTATCTTGATCATGTCTACATGCCTAAATGCGTTAAGTTACTGCCATGTGATTGGCTGATTAGAAATTTGCGTTAACAAGCAGTTAGACAGGTGTACCTAATAAAGTGGTCGGTGAGTATATCTACTAAAAGACAGAAAATATTACTTTACAAACTGTATTGTAAATAAATCATATAAATATTTGCATATTAGTTTAAACAATAACTGAAATTAATATAAGAACTTAAATTTACTTTTATTTATACTCACTCAGTGGGGAAAAAAAATCAGCATTTTTTTGTTTCGGCATAGCCTATAAGTCAATTCCTTTCATAAGTGTCTCAAATGTTTTCTGGCATTTTTGCATGTTAGGATGTGTTCAGAGCCTCTCTCCCACTGTAAAAAAAAAAGTTGACTCAACTTAAAATTGTAAGGCAACTTGTGCAGAGCTTTTTTGAGTTGACTCAACTTTTAACTCATGTACTGCACTTGACTCAATTTAAGTTGCATTAACTAAACCTCTGCAGCCGAACAAAAGGCAAAAAAGGCCCTTAACTGTTCAGTTGTACTGAAATAGCATTATATTTTAAAAACATGGCATCAATTCAAACTTCATTATAATTTATTGTATTTATATTTGAAAAAAAAAGCAATAGTTTTTGCGTTTTGCCACTGCATACATCATATTCAGAAACAGAGATAAAGAAAATTTAGTTACATGCAAAAAGAACAAATAACATTAACAAAAAGCATTCCACCTTCGCTGTAGTAGTCAACATTTGAGGGTGGCATGGAGGCTCGGTGGTTACAAGCACTGTCACCTCACAGCGAGAAGGTCACTGGTTCGAGTCACATGGCATTTCTGTGTAGAGTTTGCATGTTTCCCTGTGTTCGCGTGGGTTTCCTCCAGGTGCTCCGGTTTCCCCCACAGTCCAAAGATATACGCTATAGGTGAATTGAATAAACTATATTGGCGGTAGTGTATGTATGTGTGTGAATGTGAGTGTATGGGTGATTCCCAGTGCTGGGTTGCAGCTGGAAGGCCATCCGCTGTGTAAAACATATGCTTGATAAGTTGGCAGTGATGTTCCCTGATAAACAAAGGCACTAAGCCGAAGGAACATGAATCGTCAACATTTGTACACTCTAGAACAACATTTTAATCCATTTTAAATGTTGACTTTTATTTCCTGCCCGTTTTGTTTAGTTCGCATACTTTCTAAATGAGGTTGTAGGCTTGATACTTCTATTCCAAAGTAATGTTCACTGTTAGGATGCCATTTGTATTTTGTTGTCAATAAATCATCAGCTTATTTTTCACGAACGTATCCTTTTTAAGCTTCTATACCCCTCACCGCTTGCTCCCTCAGATTATTATGGTTCAGCGTTACATTTAGTTATCTGTGGAAGGCCAGAGAGCTCTCAGATTTCACCTCAAATATCTTAAGTTGTGATTAGAAGATGAACAAAGATCTTTCAGGTTTGAAAAAACATAGGAGTGAGCAATTTAAAGGGACAGTTCACCCAAAAATGCACATTTACACACTGGTTACTTGCCCTCATATGATTCCAAACCTTTGTCTATTGAACACAAAAGAAGATATTTTGAACAATGCTGAAAACCTGTAACCGCTTCTTCTTTAGTGGGAAAATACTATGGAAGTCAATGGTTACAGGTTTTCAGCATTCTTCCAAATATCTTCTTTTGTGTGTAACAGAAAAAAAGGTTTTAATCTCTGTGAGCAAATTATGACAGAATTTTTATTTTTGGATGAACTATCCCTTTTAAAACAGTTTGGTCATCCTCAAGGCCTTCATTACACAAGATTTAATAAATGATTCATTAAAAAGCTCTTCTTCCCTCACAGATAAAGGCGAGCTTGTCTGTGTACTTATCGAACACTGCTCTTTTAGTCCCGGAAGCATCAGGTTACGCACAACACAATCAAATGAATTATTTAGATTTGCTCAATACTTGTTACTGAAGAATCAAGAATGACACTAAATATACAATAAAAGCACTTGTATTATTATTAAGTATAAAGTCAGACCAGCTGAAAGGTTCTACTGTATTTATTACTTGTATCTTTAATTATTTTCTGTGTTTAAAATTTAAAGACAAGTGTTACATTTTTATTTTACAGAACTCGAGTTTCCTTTAATAATACAATCATCCTACGGTTTTATTTAAAGGGATAGCTCACCCAAAACGAATGTTAATTCACTGTGGTTTTAAACTTTGATTTGTCTTTCTTTGGTTCAACACAAAAGTCCTATAGTAGGAATAAAAATGCTATGGAAGTCAACTAGCATTCAGAATATCCTCTTTTGTGTTCAACAGAAGAAAGAAGCTCAAATGGGTTTTGAACAAGCGAAGGGTGAGTGAATAATGATTGAGGTTTCATTTTTTTGGTGAACTATCCCCAGATTTTCAATGTGTATTTGTACAGCAATAACATGATTGTTTTTTGGACTGTTGAAATGATTCATGAATGTGCCAACATTATAAAAATGTGCTTCGATTTCTGTATTTCAGTTTTGTTGGGACCAAAAGATAATGGCGTGAGCATTCTGTATGTAAGAACAATATCGATGTTTATTTATATGCTGTTGAATGATCTCTAATATTGGAGAAGGTGCATATCAGATGTAGTACTGCTCTCTTTTCTAACAAATATGGTT